ACCAGGTGATTCAAAAAGGACTTTACAACTTTGAAAGTGTATAGAAATTTAATCAGAAAGCTTACAGAATTGGTTGAGGTGTCATTTTGTAGCAAAACAAACCAAGTTTGACTCACGTTGTGCTGTAGTACCGAATTCCGTCACCGCGAGCGCAAGCGGCAGTGCATTTGAAAATGGCTACTTTCACAGGTGCGGAGCGCGCTCGCTGTGTGTTTGAAGAAACGAAATCTGCGACAATGGTTCAACGAAATTTTCGCACCCAGTATGACAAGGATCCTCCCAGTAGACCTACAATTTACTCTTGGCACAAGAATTTTGTTGAGACTGGTTGTTCTGTTCGCCATGACAAATCTCCAGGTTGCCCGCGTGTTTCTAGTGCTGTTGTGGAACACATTCGTGACAGCCCAAAGGTGAATGTGTTTTGTGCCCTTAGCAAAGTTAAAGTGTACGGCCCGTTCTTTTTCCATGAGAGAACCATCAACAGTATCATGTATCTGGATATGCTCGAAAATTTTCTCATACCTCAGTTAGACGAAGATGACCAAAAAGGACGCATTCACTTACAGCAAGACGGCGCACCACCTCACTACCTCACAGAAGTCCGGGATTTCCTGAATAACCGTTTCCCAGGTCGGTGGATTGGTCGAACAGGGTCGATGGCATGGCCACCTTGTTCTCCAGATTTGACACCTCTCGATTTTTTCTTATGGGGTTTCATTAAAGATCGTGTGTATGTTCCACCCTTACCTGCCAATCTCACTGAGCTCAAAGCTCGAATCACTGCCGCAGTTGCAGAAGTGACACCGGATATGCTGGATCGTGTTTGGCAAGAAATTGATTTCAGGTGGGATGTCTGCAGTATCACCAATGGCAATCACATCGAACCAAAATGACTGTTTGAGGTAAAACTTGATTCGTTTTGCTACAAAATGACACCTCAACCGATTATGTAAGCCTGAATAAATTTTGATACACTTTCAAAGTTGTAAAGTCCTTTTTGAATCACTCTGTATAAAGAGGGAAAAGTTGCTTTGCAATTCATGTGTTTCCATTCTCAATTGCTGGAATATTTTACATAGGATGAACTGTTGCAGTGATACAGTCATTACATTATCAGAAGTAAAATGTTATGGTTATGTTGCTACATTGACATGACAGCAAACGGGCATGTTTCCAGAGTGGAGGGAAGTGGTAATGAAGGAGACGAGAAAAGTGGCAGTGTCTAGCAAATTATCGTGCTAGTACTGCTGTAACTTTTTACTATATATGATATAAGGAGTATAGCACTATAACATCTCATCTTAGATTATAAATTACATTTGAAATGGAAAACAAATACCACCCAAAGAATATTTTTTGAACATTAAAACATACAATGGTTACTCTAATTCATAAAGTATATATTTAATGATTACTATTGTCTAGAGGGCTGTTACATACCTCATTGTCCTTTGTGTTGTTTACAGAAAATATGAGAGAAGTAAAACAGTAATTGAAGGTTTTAAGAAGAATGAGGAGGTACTCCGAGTGAGTCTTGCTGAGTATGAAGCCACCATTCGCAAGCAGGAGCAGAAGTATGATGTGCTTAAGTCCCATGCCATGTCTCAGCTGGAAAGGTGATTTATTATTTAAACTCATCAGTTTGCAGAAAAGTATTTATCACTGTCCGTAGCAAATGCTTTGATGATAGCAGGATGTATCTTTTAACTCCTCATCATCTTTGGCTTGACGACCCTGTGTTAGCCCTGGCCTTCTTCAAAAGCTTCTTCCAGTCTTGTCCATTAAGTTCCAAGATCTTTCAGTTCTTCTCTTCTAAAAGCTTGATGTCTTGGTACACTCTCTTCCCCACCACAATTTGGGTCCTCGCTCTGTGTCAGTATAAGAATAGTATATTCCATGATCCAATTTTCATATCCTTTGATCATTTGCCATTCTGTCTTCAGTAGGTCATTTTAGCTGTCGCTTTCTTGAGTTTCATAACAAATTGTTTCTTTATGGAGTGGGGTTGTTGACCCTATACCCAACCACCACCCTGAAGGACCAGGCCTTTGAATTAATATCCACTGGAGACAGGGTGGCAGTTCTTCTCTGCTCCCACATAGACTACTGACTAAAAATAATATATTTCCAATCCTGTTTGTTATTCTTGGCTTGGCATCTTAACATTTACAGAAAATTTGTTGAGGCCTGTTTATAATACAGGTGTCCCATTCAGTGTGTTATAGAAAGATGTGATACATGTCAGGACAAAATTCTGTTTCAACCCAAACACATTTTAGTATTTATATTTTGGTTTCTGCAGCTGTCATAATCATCTTAATCCTGTGCTTTCATGCTTCAGCACCCCTCATCAAATGTGGCACTTTTTTGTATGCCCAGGAAATACTCAAAGGGTTATTAAGTCTTGGGGACATATCAGGCTATGAAATAGGGCCACCTATCCCCTATCCAAAAACCTGGAAACTTTACAAGCAGAGTTGGTAAGATATGAGATAGTACATCACTTGTTGCAAAACAGCTTTCTCTTTTTCCATTCTACAGGGGAAACTGCTATTATGGCTCATAGATTTTAAATTTGTTGCTAATATTAAAAGAACATTTAAACTCTCTCTCTCTCACTCCCAACCCACAGCTGGATGGGGGTGCTGTTTTCCAGCAAGATGATAGAACTTCCCATTTTAGCAACTTTGTTCTAACTGCTCGAAATAAAAAAAAATCAGGTTATTTGGATGGGGAGCACTGACGTTATTTTATACCCTCGTGAGTACACACATTTAACACCCTTGGACTTTTATCTCTGGAGGTAAATAAAAAGCGCAGTTGGTGAAGTTAGTGGGCAATGCTCACAGATTACAACATTGAATTATGGCAGCTGTTAAAACAAAACATTATGTTCATGAAAGTACAATGCTGCACAAGTCTTGTGGATGCCTGAGGGATACTTGTTTCCCCCCACGCCTTATGCTGTGCAGGAGTATGCATGGCCTTTGCATTAATTAATGTGGCTTCATCCATTACAATAAGACTCCAATTTGTATAATTCTTTACAGTGCAAACCAAGAATTGGATTCTGTTCATCGTAGTCAACAAGCAGAGACTGCCAAGCTGAAAGCAATGCTAAAGAAAGCAGAAGTAAAGACAAGCTCACTGGAAGAAATGTTAGAACAGAAAGTAAAGGAAAATCAAGAGCTTGCTTCCATTTGTGATGAGCTCATAAATAAAGTTGGCAACGGTGAATAAGCTGAGCATAAGTCACTGTTATTTTATTTTCTTTCATGCTGAGTCTTACTATGAAAATATTACTTTCCAATTGCAAGTTAAATGTATGAATTTTAAGATTCCATAAAATACATAATGAAAAACCTCATCTTTTGTCATTTAAGTTTTTAATTTTTACATTCTCCAGTATGGTATAATTCTGCAAAGAAAAATATGACAACTTACTGAATTGATGTTAAAAAACATGTAAAAGAATGTATATGTGTTGGTATTAATTTTAGGATTCCTTAGAAAATATAATGGAAAACTTGAACTTGTGTTACTTCCCTAAGATTGTTGTTAATGTTTACATTATGCATAGTTTGGTATGATATAATTTGTATAAGATTTAAATTTGAACCATGTGTCATGACTTACTGAATTGAGATAGAACAAAATAAAAATATATATATATAATTCACTGAATGACACATACTGTTTGGAAATAACCCAATTAATATCTTAAGAAGTACTCAGCAATGAAGAACACAGTATCTGAATTTGTAGCCAGACTGGACTGTCCAAACAAACTCCTGATTTCCAAATATTTATTGTATACTTTTCTTTTTTAAAAATAGATAAGTGATTTTTATATTTGTTATACAGTGAGTGTATTGTACATGCATCTAATTGCATTGTTTGTGGTTCTTTAGTATATGATTTTGCAAATCTGAATCACCCTAATCAATAGCAATATCACCCTTTCCGCCATTCTGAGGGACCCTCTTAGCTGATAATGCAGTCCATTTGCATTGAGTTGCCAGTTTCAAATACCATGTGTACCACTGCAATACTGATGGTATCCCCCAGTCTTTTCAAATAGAAGGAAATTCTAAGTAGTACAGACTTTTAACTTCAACTGACAAACTCTTCTGTATATTAATAGGCTCTTTGTTTTCTAGCCAAGATATCAGAATACAGAGTTTATGAATACTGTATTTTAGCCACTACAGAAATATGCAAATGCCACTTTTAAATGAAGACATGCCACTTCTTGCAGGAACTAGACATACAGTGTATGTTCAAATGTTAATTTGTTTAACATATCAACAAATTGTTGTTAAAACCTGAAGTTTACAACAATAAAACATTATTACTATCCACTGGAATCCTTTTTTAAAAAAATTGTTGAATACTGTACTAAATTTTATTCAAAATCCTTTATTATTAGTAAATTTTAAAAAATGTAATGCATATCTATAAGTAAACCTACATATTTATTACATTTGTGTGTTTTCCTTTTATTTTTGCAGATTATTTGGGAAAATATATTTCCCAACCAACCTAGAGAATCAGGCATGTACTGTACATTTTATTCCATGCCACAAGAATTTTAAAACTACATATTTGCAGGTTCCATTAGCCAGACACTTTTCTATGTTAAATAAAATTATTTAAGGATCCTTGCTCCAATAGAATAAATACTGTTTTTTTTTCTTCCTAATAAATGTTCCCCTTCATCTGGTAGGATGAGGAAACTATGAGTATGTTATTGTAAATTAGATTTGAACCAGGTACCTCATGAATGCAAATTCATGAAATCATGAGCTAACCTGCTCAGGAGCTTATTTTAGAGAACCAGAAAGTGCAGTATTGAGGTCTCTTCAGATTTTCAAGGTATTACAAATAACAACCTTCAGTACACGAAATGGTAGCACTTTATTGTATCATGCAACTTTGCTATATTTTATAAATTAAAATATTATTCACCATAGAAAACTTCTTGTAGTAGGTGGAAGAAGAGTAACTCCAGTGATGACCACTAGGAGCATAAATGTTGACATGGCAGTAAAATGGCAACTTAACCTGAGAAAGCATGTGTAATTCACAAAGGGTTTTTATGAGAATTCCTTCACAAAGCCTGGTTGAATAATGGTCACATATTTTATAGATTTGAACTTCTAGTGGCCATCATTGGAGCAGCACTTCTGCATGCTACAAACAAGATTTTGAAATTCTCTTTACAGTGGTCTAAGTTTAATTTCTGTATGCCATTTAGTTTCTGTTAAATAGTTGAAAGTGCTCAAAAAATAGGTGTTCACTCTGTTCTTATGAAACAACAGGGTTTAAGTATTACTGCACACATCTGACTGTATACTCAAGGGAATGGGAGTTTAATCTCTTGGGCTTAAAAAAATTATGTGAGAGCTTAGAAGATTGTCACATTTGTACTGGGAGAAAAACTCGATTGGAGAGTTGCTTATGTCGTAACACTGACACTGTACACCACACGATTGTCTTCCTGTTGTCTCCAGACAAACATAAATTACAAGTGTAGAAGCTCACCCGTCTATTGTGGCTTATGTTTTTTGCAGTCTTTGTGTTCAGCAGTCTCTTCCTAATCTGACTGATTCACATCAGAATCACAGTCTAAGATGTGTTGACATGTAATTTCCTTGTTCTGGAATTTTCCTTTTCAGATTCGTAGCCATTCTTGATTTCTGTACACTGTAGAGATAATCAGATGACAAATAGGATTCTTTCCAAATTTTGTCTGTATTGAATTGTGACTATGAAGAATGAACCAATACGGCTAATACTTGGTGTACACAGATTTAAATGCACATGAGCATCGAAATGGATGAACTTGCCTATGAGATTATATGGGATATACCACTTTTCCTTTTTGAAAAATGGATGAACTTGCCTATGGGATATACCACTTTTCCTTTTTGATTCATAACCATTCACATAATTATTTATATAATATGGAGTGCTTAAAAATGATATAGAGTTATAAGAATAGAAGCGTGACTTTATTCAGCGAGCTATCGGACCTTCACCATTCTGTATTGAAAAATAAACAATTGAAATGTAAATGTAAAAGAATTAAAACCAAGTTTCATACATAAAGATTCTGCAGGGAGATGGATCCATTCAGTTGTTTGGACAGTTCAGTCTGAATTAACGTGTAGGCACAATATTGCTTTTCACTGTTGAGCATTTGCAGTCATTAAGTGTGATCTTTGATATTAGTCCATCAGTTTGATTGTAATTTAGTAGGTCTTATATGTATATAATGTTTTCCATTACCAGTGCAGTAAGTTCTGATTTTTTTTAAGAAATTGCAAAATGGTATGCATATTCATAATTAAAATAATTAAATTATGGAAATGACAAGTTGAAGTTTTCCATTATATATTGTGAGGAATCTTAAAAATTAGTATTTTTGAGCAGTGTACATGCATTCCATTGTGGTTATAATCAAATATAAGGAAGTAGAGATTCTTATTATCAGTAAACAGTTTTTATTGCTTGGGGAATATGTTTTGATCTCACTGGATTATCTTCAGGTCCTACAGATACATTTCTTAATCTGAAGCAGAATTACATATGGTTTGAGATTGTCTGAAAGTTTATATCACAAAATAGAAAGAAAAAATTAAATCTGTAGAACGTTTGAATGTATTAGTCAAATAGATTAAAACAATTTTGAAAATTATTATATATATTGGCTAATGAAGTTATAAGCAAGAGAATCGATATAAAACATGCACATATGTATTTAAATACTGATTTGTTCCATTTTTAGTTATTATTTTGAGTCTGTGTATGCACCATATGTATTATTTTAGAGTGGTTGTATCAGATGGGTGCATTATATTGTGTTGAGTAAAGTCATTGGATTTTTTTATATATGTGTATGCCTGTATCACTTGACACCCAGGAGACAGCAGGCAGATGTAGTATTAAGGTTTTATACACAGTCTCTTGCTTATAATTGCATTAGCCAATGTTTCTAATATTTCTCAAAATGTTTTAATCAATTTGACTGATAAATTCAAAACAACAATTTTAGTATTATGGCTCTCCCTCTTCCTCCCCCAAACCCCTATTTTGATATAAACTTTTTGACAATCTCAAACCAGAGTAAGAAATCTGTGTCTAGAGCCTGAGGATAATCCAGTGAGATAAAAACATGTCACCCTGATAAAAAAGATTTAATTGATATACAGATAGGTGTTTTCACTGCTTTATTATACTTGATATGCATGCACTTTGAAGGTATTTACATATTGTGATTCCATGCAATTACTAGATCTGGTTCACATTGCTCTGAAGTCTTTATGAGAAGCCATAAATCAATATTAGCATGTTGTCAGGTATTTAAGTTTGAAGTAATAGGAAACAGTTTTAATGCCAACTTAATGTACAGGGTGCGGCAGTGGAATGTGACGGTTTTCAGAGCGCTATTGTGGCAAACTCGGGTCGAATTAAAATAAAACACTTTCACTTTAAAAACAGCAGAACAATGCAATTTATTAATCTCTGCTTATTTCTTAATAACATTTGTCAAGTGGCCTCCATGACAACGAATACGTTCTTGTAATCTAGACCGGAAATTGCCCATAACTCGTAGCAATAAAGCTCGAATTTCTTCAGTGATGCATTGTTTTAACTCCATGATGGTGCGTGGTTTGTTAACATACACTCTAGACTTCAAATATACCCATAGGAAGTAACCGGCAGCTGTTAGATCAGGGGACCTAGGCGGCCAGGCGACGTCTCCAAATCGGGAAATGATGTGTCCGGAAAACATGGCTCGCAGACAGTTCATCGATTCACGAGCTGTGTGTGCTCTGCACAAATGTAATTTTGTAGGGATGAAATTTGAGGTCCTCATGCAGAATACGGTGAACACTCCTGTCTGATAGGTGTAATGCAGCTGATTGACGCCTAGCAGAGCAAGTTGGACTCTGCTGCACCGCTTCCCTAACCTTCGCAATGTTCTCTGGTGTGCGTACTCTTCGTGCACTACCAGCAAAACGATCACAAAATGTTACTGAAGTTTACCACCTACCTCAAAATAATGCTACGGGTAGGAATTCTTCCATGCTGTACAACATTAAATGCACACCTTATATCTTCTCTGGACCTGGATTATGGATTTGCATTCAATAAATGCTGTTACCGCGAATACGCATTCCGCCACCGACCTGTTAGCCATACTGTCTCTCACTACACGGGCAGAAGAAACTGCATCCCTTGGTGGTCACGTAGCCACACACACTTCCCCAACACTCAATAACGTTAGCTGCAGCTGCACTCTGAAAACCGTCACATTCCACTTCCGCATCCTATATATAATTTTAAAATGGCATCGTTAATTCTGTATTGACATGTTAAGGATCAGATTGCATGTATTAATGTACTGAAATGATGTTCCATATAATTTTGCAGCTTCTCTATTTTTAGCTTAGTTTTGTTTCTTGAAGAAATTGGTTTGTTAGATGACCTTGCTCTTTGTGTCTCTCCCCTTTAAACTTCTGAACCACTTTTCTGGTTTTCACAAATTTTTGTATGAACATTTTGCCATTGATGACCATCCAAACTTCATATATTCTACAGTGTGGGAAACAGCAAACACAAGAACTTGTGGGGTGGAATCTATATTAGCGCTCTTCCTATACACTCCTCAAATAATGTGGTAATTGGTGCTGGAAATATATGCAATTTTTGTTAAGGTAATTTCTTGTAAAGTGTAAAAAGATAACATGGTGGCCTTGCAGATATTCTCATTTAGTGTTCTGTTTGATGGCAATAATCAATGGATTATTGTAGCTATAAATATGAAATTTGTTATTTATAGAAGATGGATATGAAGACATATACATTCTTACAGATTATATATAAAATATAGTGTATAAGTCAAAAATTACAGTTAATGGCAATGATGCAAAATTTTGAAGTTGCGTTCAACAAATTTAATGTAAACAGGATCTGTACTTAACAAGTTGTTTTGAGAAAAGGAAAAAAATAGTAGTAGTATGTAATAATAACAGTAGTAGTACCTAAGATATTTACAATTTCACTAATGTTTGTAAGTCTGTGCAAAGTATCATAGGCTTTATTCTGCCAATAACTCCTTGTTAAAATATACATTTGAAGTTCTTGCAAAATTATGCTGTAGTTGCCTATAGTATCCTGCACTTCAGATTCAAAGTCTGTTGTATCTGAATGTGAGACATTTTCTTCTGCTTAGCATTTGGAAGAGCAGTGGTTATCCCCACTTTCCAACTTTATATTACCTCTATAATTAACATTGATGTTGTCATCTGTAGTTCTGTATGTTTTTGCTGGGAGTCTGTTGCTGCATGGAAACATTTCTTCATCCCTGTGCAGGAACAAGGTGCACCACACCATCACATCAATAATGTCCCAGTGTGGGCCATCATGCAATATTTAACAGTAATTCTATCAACAGCTGCACATAAGAATTTCTATATAGCAGGGGTAAAATCTGTAGACTAAGAAATGCTTTACTGGGATTAAAGTGAATACATTGTGAATAGTATTCTGGAACTGATGGTCTCTGGGTAATATACAGGACTCAGACTTGAATGCACAGATATGGTGCCTGTCATTTTGTTGCAAAGGTGCAAAAGTTCAAATTAAAGGATGTGGTGCCTGTCATTTTATTGCAAAGGTGCAAAAGTTCAAATTAAAAACATTCCTTTTCCTCACAGGTGTTCACACTGAAGAAACTTGAAAGATCTATCTGACATATGGAACAGAAATTTGGGAATGGGCTAAGAGAGATATAAATGGGTTGCAAGTGGTAGTCAGATGAAATATTCAAAAATGAACGAGGATTAAAATCTGAAGTCAGGACATAGGCAAGACCTGAAAATTAAATCACAAGAAGAAACGTTTGTCAAACTGAGGACATGTTAGGATTTCTTTGGAAGCATCAAACTGAATGTATTGAATAAAAAAGTAGAGAGTAATAGCTGTGAACAGTTGTACCTGGTGTAAAGTCTTGTCTCTGTAATGAAGAATATGATTTGTAAACTGAGAGAACATTAAGCAAAATAACACTAATTTATAAAAGTTATTAAAATAAATCCATCATCCTTGAAGAACCCACAGTTTAATCAGTGATTCCATTACAGCTGGTGCCAGAAGGGGGGAGATTAAGTGGATCTGGCATTGCAGCTGATAGAGCAGTTAACAAAAATAAGTGCCAGCCAAGAATAAGTACGTAATGAGATAAATGCCTTCAGGTCTAACCACATTAAGTTTTGGTGACAGGCTGGCAGCAGTCTACCAGTCTCTACTCAAGGCCAAAATCCAGCATAATGGTGAGTCACTACAAGAGTTAGCAGCACTTGGCACAATAGGGCCCTTATCTGATTACCTGTGGATGTCATGCATTCATCTACAGAGTGAGACCCCCATTAATTGAAGCAGAATCTCATGGGCAACGATTGGTCGTTTGACTAGGTTTTCAACCATGCTTTTAAGCTAGAGTTTGCGAAGGGGACAGCCAGCCTTCTGATTTTGTGATGAATTAACTAAAGCTCCAATGGGAATGCGTCCACCAACAGCCCAGCGGTGCAGGGATGGACAACCAATATGCTCGCAGTGTGTGAACCATGATCATCTCAGCAAAGACTGTTGGCAGAGACTTGACAGAGGTAACCGACAAGACAAAAAATTACTGTGCAACAGAGGGTGATCTGGCGCCATCCACCTCAACGCCGAGGGCTGGATACGGGGCAAGCTATGTCATGTAACCATCGCTACGAATGATTCGGCCTTTCGTTCTGCGGATGACATGTGGGGAGACCATCCCCGTTTGGAAGGCGGCGCTGGTAGAACTGACTGGGACGCCGAGATCACGGATGAGTTCATCCTGGGACGGGACAGCCTGCTAGCCTATGGCATGTGGGTGGACTTTGGGCGCCATGTGCACGACTGGGCCGAACTGAAGTGTCTTTATGGGGCCCCGGCGCACGACCACAATCATCCCGATTTATTCTGACCAATAACTAATTGATTCCTTTAGATGTGAATGGGTGATTACGACAGTAGAGACCATCCTAAATGCTGCGGATGGCCTTGTGGAACCCAGTCAAAAGACTTTGCTTAGCAAGGACACAGATTCTAACTACAAAGAAGGTAAATGCCTATCAGAATCGCGAATGCGAGCAACCCAGACTTATTCTAGCTGGACGCTGGGAATAAAAGAAGAAGAAAATGTAAACGATGAAAAATGTCTAGCGATCTTTTTTCTTTTGCCTTGTACTTGAGTTCCATAAGATTATTTTTGAGTGAATATATCACGAAGTTCAGATTGTTTTCTGAGTCGTACTTCAGTTTTGTACCAAGAAACATAAAAATGAAAATTCGTTCTTTGATTATTTATATTTTTTATGGAAAAGGGGTTATTCTGCCACGATGTACTATCACAAGACAGCACGGCAAACGTGCAACAAAATAATATGTTGGCAGTCAAGGTATTGCTAACATCTTAGCTGGGAAAGTTTATCTGATCAGTTCTGTGTTTCATTGTGTGGAGTAGGTCTACCA